GGAATGGGGCATGGAAATGGGTGGTGAAACAGGCTCCCTGTGCGAGAAGAAGGTCTGCACAGCCACAACTTTAAATCACCAGCTTCCATAAGCAAACACTGATCTCTGCAAGCCATACGAGGTCAAGGATGAGAACGCGCCTTGCTCAGCCAACTGCATGATGTTATGTGGTATCAGGTTAGCTGTTCTTATGATTTATTCAAATAGTCATCACAGTCTATTTTTACATGGGAGTGATGATATCCACTGATAACAATTAATCACATATACATGTAGATTAGTTAGGAGCCAGAGCATTGCTAAAATGGTGCCGGAAGCCTGCAGTCAAAGAACTGGCTGGTGGGTTCCATTCAATATGTAAAATGCAAGCCCAGCCACCGCTCTTCAGTTCTAGAGTTGCTGTAGTTACAGTAGAGGTAAAGCAAACAGTTTCTAGGTAGAAAAATAAAGCCTTCTCTCCCACCTTCTATGTTGTCCCAAAGACTGTAAGCAACAACGGCACTGCCTCCATTATTCACAACAGAGCTCTCCTCTTAAGCATCTCCCTCTGCCGCCATCTTGAATTCCTCCCCACCACCTCCAGAGTTGCCACTTTTAACAGCAGCCTGATGGAGGCGATGCTTTTCCTGGAATCGAGGTACTATTTATTGATTTGTGCAATTTATATCCTGCCCTTTCGCCCAAAGGAGCCCAGGGCAGAAGACGTGGCAGTGATAAAACATTAAAAAGAATCTACAAAAATGTTAAAACGTTGTTTTAAAAAGCTTACCCCCACCAGGGATCTCTGGGTTGCTGGGAACAAGGCTTTTTCAGCCATCAAATACCCGCGTAAACAGGAATGTTTCTCCTGAAAGTCTATAATAGGGGAGACAGCTGCACCTCACTAGGGAAGTCATTGTACAAGCAGGGAACCACCACGGAAAAGGGCACAATGCCAACTGGGCAAGGCCTCACCTGCCAATTGTAGGGTTCGAGATGGGAAAGGAGCTCTTTTAGGTACAAAGTGAGGAAGAAGGCATCTGCTTAGTCCATCTCTAAAGTTGACCAGAAGGAGTCAGAACCAAGAATCTAAGCAAGGGGTCAGAGGCAAGGAACACATCAGAGCCATGAAGGTTTTTGTTGCTCAGGCAAGGTCTTAGTCCAAACAGGAAGTCCTTTATAGCTCTTCCTGTCCAGGAAGTCCCAATGGCCACCTTAGGTGGACAGGGCCAGCCCAGACACTGACAGTATTTCACTGCCTGGGAAGATGCTCCAATTGGCTCCAAAGTTCTCGGTTTTAGCCCTGGCAGCTCCTGGCAGTCAACCCATTATTCTCTCTTCATTCATTCCTCATTCTGCTATTTCTTCATTCATTCCTCATTTCTCTTCTCCATTCCATTCCTTCAGCTCCATTTATCAACTTTGGGTGGTTTTAATCTCAACCAAACAGACAACCTTCCCTTGCCTCTACAAAATCTAGGGAGGATTATCATCCCTGACTGGGTTCACAGTACAGGCATAGGTTTTCCTTAATCCCTTTACTTGTTGACTTGTGACACATAATTTAACAATGTAAGAATCCTCTTGGATCAGACCAAAGACCCATCTAGTCTAGCATCCTGTATCCAGTGCCAAACAGATGCCAATGGGAAGACAGAAAGCACCAGATGAGAGCAATAGTCCTCTCCCACTGTTATTCTCAAGCAGCTAATACTTGTTTTATGTTCTTCATTTCCCTCCAATGATCTCCCCATCCATCCCATGCTGCAAAAAATAAATAAATCACAGAGCACATGCTTTTGTTATACAGATTGATTGGTTTACTCAAGCAATGGCAGGTCCTCACTTCAGTTTAATACTTTAGCTGATCAGCTTGGTTGCCTCTCATGTCTTTTCCAGCTAAACAAATCTACGGTTCTCCTGGCTAAGCTAGTTTTCTGTGTAAATCAATCACTGATGGGAAGAGGAAGCAAGGGGACCAGGAATAGAGGCAGAACTGGCTTTGCTCAACCAAGAGAACTGGCAAAGTCTCAATGCTTCTGTAAGCTCTGCCAAATGCACAGAACTTTCACCATAAGCTAACAGACGACAACTGGCATTAACAGTATAATGAGCACCAAAATCAATTACAGGCAGCGCAAGCAGGCAGTCCGTGGCCCTAGGGCTCTCAGCCTAATTTCAAAAGCCCTCCACAAGTGATCTGTCCAGACCTTTGGCAACAGCCATTTCCCTCTCCCAAGAGCCTACTGGGTGTGGAGAAAGGGAGAAAGAGAGAGAAGTGGGTGACGCTCCCCACCAGACTCTGCTATACACACTTATTCAGGAAACACTGAGTCCAGGAAAAACATGGGCATAAAAGCCATAGTCCATCTCTCCATTTAAACAAAGGAGGACAAGGGACAAGGTGCCTGCAAACATTATACTCCAATATGTGCACCAACCTTTCAATATGTGCACCAACAACCAATATGTGCTTATACACCAATATGTGCAGCAACCTTTCCAGATCATTGTTGTACATCAGGAGTGGCTAACCCGTAGCTCTCCAGGTGTTCCTGAATCACAGCTCCATCACCTTCAGGTCAGGAATGATGGGAGCTGGAGACTGACAACATCTGGAGGGCAAGAGACTAGTCACCCCTGAAGAACTAATTGCACACAGAAAACATTGTTGGCTGTAACACAGACTCAATGAAGACTAGTTAAAATGCATCACGCTCTATCCCTTTTTCTTCAAATTGGGGTGTATTATTTCAGCAAGTTTCCAGAACACCAACTACAACATTGTGGGTGCCTCCTTATGGGCCCTGTAACCTCTGTCAAATGCAGGATAAAATGCCAATCGAGTTACTTACCATTCAGCGAACTTTGGAACAGATCAGCTGGAAAGGCAGATAGCTCAGGATCCAGTTCCAGAAGGTACCTATTAATATAATAAAGTATATTGTGTAAGAGATGGACAAATCCGTCCATTTTGGTTTCTCTGTGTTTCTCATGTTTTCAGCCTGCAGCTTGGTACCCCACATTTCTGCATCAGTTTGCTAAATTTTCAGTTACAAGTCCCAATGAAAATTGATTATTTTTTCCAAATACTCATTGCATTTCCATCCAGTAACTCTGGGCAACTTTCTCTCTCTCTCTCTCTCTCTCTGAACCAATAATACAAAAAAAATACAAACATATGGAAATCTAAAATACAGTGTAAAACCAGTATGAAACATCAATGCAATATATATATTTTAAAGCACTAAAAATACTGGCCTTGCAGTGTAAATAGGTCTTCAATTGGTTGAAAAGTTCTGAACCAGAGTCATTTGGATGGATTTACATAGTTAAGGAAACCCAGTACAATAACCTTGCTATTGACTTCCCATTAAGATGAGTACCACCACAGAACCATTTATTTCTCTATGGCCCACAAGCAGTCTGGGACCAGGGTATCTGAGCAGACACGAGACAAATTCTGTTGTATCTTTTGTCCTCTTTTGGCGATGCATTCCCTCTTTTTTGGAAATGTGCAAATGGCCAACCCAGCCCTGACTATGGCCTGATCCCATAGCTCCTGGCTCCAGACTCCACCCCAGGCAGCTGCCCTCATCTCAGCCCAGACACTAGTAATATATACGTGGCCAGTTTTCTCTCCATTTAGAAGAATTTCAGCTTGAAACTGCAGCTGGTATCAAAAAAAGAAAGAAAATGTGTGCTGTTATTATGAAAACAAAGTGCATTCATTCTTTACATTTCATGTTTCAGTTCCCAATAGCTTTGAAAGTAAAAAAATTGTTTTATGGCTACATTTGCTACAGTGGACTTTGGTCTTTATGACTTGAGTTTAGCATGGAAAAGTTTCTACCATTTACACCATTAGAGTTTCCACCTTTCAATGAAGAGGAAATATGGTACAGCACAGAGAATGCTAAGGCTGGGGCCAACGAAACTCTTTCCCTCGGCCAGAAAGCTCAAATTTCTTAGGATTGCAAGGCAAGCTACCCTGGATGAAGAAATTGAACTCGGAGTATGGGTTCTACCAAAATCTTCCATGCTCAGATCAATACGATTCATAGGCAAAGTAGGTTTCAAGGGAACAGTGGGCAAGCTAAGACATTGATCCAACCCCTATGATCCCATCATAAGGAAACTGGGGGGCAAATGAGGCGGTTCCTTAGATTGGGCAATCCAAAGTAAGCTTTGTGACTGAGGTAGGATTCAAACCCAGAGCTCCTCAGGCCTAGACCAACACTCAAACTGTGACTACGCTATGCTTGTCCTGAGACTTCTCTCAATCTGGATAGAACTCCGCAAAGTTTTCAAACAATATATTTTATTGAGATTCACAAGGCTCATGTAGAGGTATTTCCTCACATCCCAGTAGGCTGTTATTTTGGCTCTGAATGAATATGGTTAGGAAGCTTTTTATGAAGTTCTGTAAGAATGAGTGAGCTTACCCCTCTTCCTGGACTTGCAAGAACTAAACAAAACTAAGTCGCAAAGGAGAGAGGGAGGATTTCCCCGCTCTGGGCAGAGCCAATAGAAACTAGAATATTACTGCGCCTTCATTTCCCAGCCTGCCTTGAGATCTGGAATGGGGAAAGGCAGGACCTTTTCTTACAGGTAGGAGAAGCATTATTATTCCTTCTCCTTAATACTAATACATAGATTTGCTATCATCAAATAACTGAACCCTATTGGTCTGCCAACTTGCTTCACTGCCTGCAGTGGACACAAAGATCTCTCCAACATCATTCCAGTGACAGTGCTGTTGCTATTCTAAAAGAAATAAAAAACAAAGCATGAAGGTCCCCAGAAAATAGGGGAACAATGGGAGCATAGTATTTTGAGCCTAAATCCACTTGTTCTGGATAGAGATGATTAACCCTGCTCGATTTTCTTATTTTCCGTGGGTGGTATTCAATACTAGTCGTACCACTTAAGTTAATGGACATATAACTGTACAATCATAGAATTGGGAGGGAAACCAAGGGTCCTCTAGTCCAACCCCCTGCAATGCAGGAATTTCCAGGTGGCCCATATGGGGATCAAACCTGCGACCTTGGCGTTATCAGCACCATGCTCTAACCAACTGCGCTAACTGACATTACTAAATTAAATTCATTACGACTGAGCAAGAGTTGTGCTGCCCCTGCTGCCACCCACATCCAGTTGTAGGCAAAACATTAACCGAGGCTTTAATTCAAAATTATGTGGGCTATTTTGTAGAGCTATAAATTTGTCCCCAAGAACAAAAACATCAAATGGTAAGTTGTTGTTTAGTCATTTAGTCGTGTCCGACTCTTCATGACCCCATGGACCAGAGCACGCCAGGTACGCCTGTCTTCCACTGCCTCCCGCAGTTTGGTCAAACTCATGCTGGTAGCTTCGAGAACACTGTCCAGCCATCTCGTCCTCTGTCATCCCCTTCTCCTTGTGCCCTCCATCTTTCCCAACATCAGGGTCTTTTCCAGGGAGTCTTCTCTTCTCATGAGGTGGTCAAAGTATTGGAGCCTCAGCTTCAGGATCTGTCCTTCCAGTCAGCACTCACGGCTGATTTCCTTAAGAATGGAGAGGTTTGATCTTCTTGCAGTCCATGGGACTCTCAAGAGTCTCCTCCAGCACCATAATTCAAAAGCATCAATTCTTCAGCAATCAGCATTCTTTATGGTCCAGCTCTCACTTCCATACATCACTGCTGGGAAAACCATAGCTTTAACTATACAGACCTTTGTTGGCAAGGTGATGTCTCTGCTTTTTAAGATGCTGTCTAGGTTTGTCATTGCTTTTCTCCCAAGCAGCAGGCGTCTTTTAATTTCATGACTGCTGTCACCATCTGCAGTGATCATGGAGCCCAAGAAAGTAAAATCTCTCACTGCCTTCATTTCTTCCCCTTCTATTTGCCAGGAGGTGATGGGACCAGATGATAAGTATCATTCTTAAAAGAGGCACTACCCCCCTTCTCTCTATCATAGAATCATAGAATTGTAGAGTTGGAAGGGACCCCAAAGAACATCTATTCCAACTCCCTGCAATGCAGGAATCTCAGCTCAAGCATCCATGCCTCTTTCTAAGCATGCACAAGTTATTTAAAAACAGGGGTGAAGACCACCAGATGTGGGCCACCAGATACTTCTGGACTCCTTTGCAGCCCTGTCCACTGGCAATGCTGGCTGGGCCTGAAGCAGTCCAGCAAAGTCTGAAGGGTCACAGATTTCTCTCCCCCCCCCATCCTAAAAGCAATGAATGCATGCTTTGACATCTGAGCCACTCATTTTAATCCCATGCAAATGTATGCAGATATATCTGATTAATAAACTAACACTCGGATGATTAATTGACTAGATGTAATCATGTGACAGTCCTGTTATTTTGCATTTGGGTATGTATATCTTGTGCTACAATTGCCTGTGCCCTTAAGTACACAAAAGAAGGGGAAAAAATTGGGCCCCAGCTCTGGCACATTTCTGAAAGGAAATAAAACAGGACAGACATGCACCACTCATAACTCAAATTGTATTTTGGATTTGAGCAACCACATCCAAAATAGAAAATGTTTTGCAGAAAGGAGCCTTCTATCTGCAAAGGGACACAAATCGATCTGCACACACTCTCCTCTGCCAGCCCCATAGCATCTCATGGTCACAAAGCACTCACAAAACCACCCCTCTTTTCCCCAGACCTGCTTCTCAGTGACCCATTGTTCATAGCAACGCTTTAAACAGCTCATATTTTGTTAATTGTACAAGCCTAATGGAGGAATGTATTGGCAAGAAGGGGTAATAGCCATCAGGCCAGCAATAAAACAAAATTAATGGTCCATGGGAAGAAATCATGTCCACTTAATATCAGCTTTGAAACTCTAATAAAATAATGTGATACCAATGGCAGCTTCTCCCTCACACATATGCACACCCCGAGCATGCAGATTGCTTACACCACGTTAAATCACTCATATAAAGCAGACCCCGTTCGGCTGAAGCTCACAAGATCCTCCCGGGAACATAGCAGACCGGAAACATTTAGCGTAAGGCTCATTACCGACATGCACAGCTGTAGCAACACCCACAAGATCCAGCCTAGAGGCAACACAGGAAAAAAACACACCAGGAATAGAGGATGAGGTCTTCATCAGTGCTCTCTAGTCCTTTAGCAAAAAACAACCCATTAGTATATAGCCTGGAAACCCAACTCCACAATGGGCAAGTCTGATGGGCAAGCATCTCTCTCTCTCCATCATTAGTGATGGATGAATCTGTCCATTTCACTTTCTCTCGATTTCTCATTTTTCCAAACTTATGTTTCACACCTCTACATCAGTTTGCTAATCTTCTCTTTTTAAAAAACAAGAAACCTTCACAAATATTTGTTTGCATTTTAGTGCACATTTTCCCCAATCGACATATTTGCAATTTTGCTTTAAATACATATTTTTGCAAGCTGTTTCCCATAAATAACGCATTATTTTTTTTATTATTTTTATGCGCATTCTCCCCTATCACGGCACATTTTTGCGCAAATTTTGTTGCTGCTGGAGAACTACATTGTGAAATTCGTAGGAGGGAGAATTCCGAAGGAGAATTGCACACCTTGGGCCAAAGTGTGACCCAACTAACATGTTATACTGGGTGCAATACTTTAGCTCCAATGTTTGGTGATGTAAGAGAACTTTGCAGCAATTCTGCCTCTCCAGATTTCTAGCCAAATGTGAATGTGATGGGGGAGAGGGAATCATTCCAATTCCTACAGGGTCACATGAACATCAAATTAGCATTAAATTAGCATGGCAAAGCTTAGAAAGATTGTGTGATCACCACCCATCATGGTCATTGTGATTGCTTTCTATAGTTAGAAGCTTTGCAGAGACATGTCACAGACTGTACCTGACGTTCATGGGCCATTTGGCCTGTTTGTTGAGAATAATGATAAACGATAGAAGCACATGCATTACTCATGTGTTTGCTTTTCATCTGCAAGCCACTCCTTTGTGGGGGTATACATTTGTTAACATAAAAATAGCCTGCTGGATGAGGCCAGTGGCTCATCTGGTCCAGCATCCTGGTCACACAGTGGCTGACCAGATCCCCATGAGAAGCCCAAAAGCGGTACCCGAGTGCAACAGGACATCGCATGCTCAAGATATTTCTATATGCACCATCACAGAGAACACAGGAAGCTGCCTTATTTATACCTTGTTAGAACATTGCCCTTTGAACCATAATACTACAGAATTAGCAGTGGCAGCAGCAGCTTGGTAGATGTCATGCCACCTGCTCCCTGGTCATTTTTCTACGTTTCTGAGCACAATTCAAAGTGTTGGTGTTGACCTTTAAAGCCCTAAACGGCCTTGGCCCAGTATACCTGAAGGAGCGTCTCCACCTCCATTGTTCTGCCCAGACACTGAGGTCCAGTGCCGAGGGCCTTCTGGCGGTTCCCTCATTGCGAGAAGCAAAGCTACAGGGAACCAGGCAGAGGGCCTTCTCGGTAGTGGCGCCCGCCCTGTGGAACGCCCTCCCAGCAGATGTCAAAGAGATAAACAACTACCTGACATTCAGAAGACATCTTAAGGCAGCCCTGTTCAGGGAAGTTTTTAATGTGTGACATCTTAGTGTATTTTTGGTCTTTGTGGAAGCCGCCCAGAGTGGCTGGGGAAACCCAGCCAGATGGGCAGGGTACAAATAATAAATTATTATTATTATTATTATGGCTATGCCAGGGATTGAACCTGGGAGCTTTCACATGCAACACATGTGCTCAGCCATCTTAGGCTCTCGTCACAAAAGTCCTGCTGGGTCTGAGAAACAATCCATCTGCTCCAGCATACTGTTTCCAACTGCCGTCAACCAAACACCTCTGGGAAGTCCACAAATAGAGCGGCGGGGAGAGGAAAATCCAATTTCCTGCTCAATTCTGATTCCCTGTGCTATTTGGGGCCAGAGCGCCTAGGGTTGCCGTATTTCAGAAAGTGAAAATCCGAACACAAAAGTTGCTGAGCCTTTTGTGTCAGGGGGTGGACTGAGGAGGAATGGTGGGGCCCGCCACCCCCTTCTCCTGAACCTTCCCGAGAACAGGAGGACAGTATAGATTCAGAACAGTGGTTTGCAGAAGGGCATAGTTCAGAGGCTGCAGAGGGGAGAAGCTGGGAAGTATTGGGAGAGGAACAGCAGGAAGAAGAAGAAGCAGCACCAGGGGAGAGACAGCTGACAGACTCAGTGCCCTTGGAAAGCATTTCTGACCCGTCCTCTCCCAGGACCAGGTGAGCATTGAGAGTAGTAGAGCAGAGAGCTCAGTGGCAGAAGGCTCAGATTAGCCGACGCAGGACTGACGTAGAATAGGGGAGATGAAGGGCAGGGTGGGACTTCACTTGGAGCAACGCCATTTCTAGAGAGAGACCGCATGCCTTTGTCTCCCGCTGTGATTACTGAATAAACTAATTGGTAAGAACTCTTTTTTTAAAAATCTGCTTCTTTGCTGCCACTAGGGAAGGGATCTGATTCCCCGAAGCCTGACAGTTTGTGAGCAATTTTGAGCTATATATTTTTTGGGGAAATCGGCAAAAACAACACTGCTGACCAGGGTCGTCTTAAGCATATCCAGCGCCATGGTGCAAAGATCCCTCCGGCGCCCCACCCCCCATTTCCCAGAATTGTCAACCTTTTCCCACGCCTCTGCGGGGATCGCTCTCCTCCCACGGAGGCTTGGGAGGCAAGCTGCACACCCGCAGCCATATGGGTGACGGGGCACAGCTTGCAGGCATGCAGGAGGGAACGGGGAGGCCGCCAGCAAAGCCGTGCAGCTCCCCCACTTGCTGGGGTGCTCCTGAGAGGCTGGCGCCCTGGCACAACGCACCAGTAAACCCAGTGGAAAAGACAGCTCTGCTGCTGACATTGGGGACGTCTGGCCTCTAACGTAGGGTTTCCATTTGATCCACAAAAGCTTGTGCTTCTTCACTCTTCCACAAGAGGCAGTGGTGGCTACTGACTTGGGTGGCTTTGAAAGGATTCGACAAACTCCTGGAGGACAAGGCTATCAAGGCAGAGACAGGATGCCTCTGAACACCAATTGGTGGGAACTGCAGGTGAACAAACGGCATTGCACTCAC